TTCCTCCCCTTCGTCCTCTTTTTTTTTTTTTTTCCATATTTTTTTTGAACTTTGTCAGATTTTGTCTTATTCTTCTTGTCCCCCGCTTCGCTGACATGGCATGTCGTCGTCTTCTTGTTCTGTCGTTCTGCTGGAGCAGAACCGGAACGTCGTTTTCCCGGCACATGGCAAGCAGCACGGGGAGTGTAGCTGAACAGTCGGCATCCTTCCGCATCGCACCTGCCTCGTCAGCAGCTACCACATCAGGACTGGCGATCGCAGCATCTCCCACATCAGCATCCGGTCGAGGTTTGCTGCTTCCACGTCGGCAGCGCTATGGCCAGCAACAACGTTGACGGGGCAGGGAGAGCGGATGTGGGGCGGGACCCCTTCCGGGAGGACCTCAACCACCGGCGGGATCACGTGGTGTGGACGTGGGTGACTGCCGGTCAGTTGCTGTTAGGGAACGCTCGTGGATCAAGGAGGCTGCACTGCAAGCTGTGCAACAAGGAATTCACAGGGACACAGAAACGGCCGATGGAGCACTTTTGTTTGAAGAGGGCCTCCGTCCGGTGTCCAAATGCAACGATGGCGATTTGGAGGAGGTTGCACAGGGTTGGTTTTGAGATGCCACCAGATCTTATGGAGAGGGTGCAGCGCGCAATAGAGGAGACTGCCAGCGATGACGATGATGGTCCTGTGCTGGAGGACGACGCGGTGGGGCGAGGGGGAGGGGTTGCGATGGATGGGGAGGCAGGGGAGGCGGTTCATGGGGAGGCTGGCAGCGGGGTGGATGAGGTGACAAGAGGGGTTGTGGCCGATGGAGAGACTCCGGTCCGGAGACCTGCATTGTCGCAGACTGCGGAGCAGGCTGCCCGCAGACGGGGGACGGCTAGACAGACGAGCATCGTCAGGTACACGAAGAACCCCAGACAGGCGGACATCGATGATACCTGCTGCGAGTTCTTCGTCGAGAACGCCATCCCGTTCAACGCCGCGAAAAGCAAGAGCTTCAAGAAGTTCCAGCTGGCGTGTTATGGGCCGCAACCTGCGGCGAGCTGCCCTCTTGTGCCCACTGGGTACAACCCACTACGATGCAGGCTGCTTGATCAGTTGCGCGGGAGGTTGGAGGCTGAGGAGAAGGCGCTCTGGGACGACTGGGAGGTGACAGGCTGCACGTTCATAACCGATGGCACCACAGACATCTGTGGGCGATCGCTTATGAACTACATCCTCGCCGGGCGGTCGAATTTTCATCAAATGCGAGGATGTGAGCGAGGGGGAGAAGGATGCAGTTGCCGTCGTCGCAGGGTGGAAGAGGTTCTTCAGGGAGTGGCGAGTAGAGAAGGTGACTGCGGTCTGCACAGACTCCTTCGCAGGGAACAAGAGCGCTGCCCGGATGTTGAGGGAGGATCCCGAATTCGCGCAAATCTACTGGATCCCTTGCACGGCACACTGCATGGACCTGCTCATGCACGACATCTGCAAGGAGTGGTCGGCGACCATCATCGAGAAGGCCAACAAGGTGGTCACCTTCTTTAGAGTGCACAGGTGGCCACGATCGCAGTTGCGGACGCAGTTGTTGCAGTACCCTAACCTTAAATGCACCTGCCTACTTCGCCCAGCTCAGACGAGGTTTGGGACAAACTGCGTGATGCTGCAGCGACTGGAGGTCTGTGCCAAGGCCATCATACGCATCGTGAATGGACTCGCCTGGGAGAGGATGGTGTGGAGGGGGGATATCAGGGGGAAGGCGTTATTTGTGGAGGAGACTGTTCTTGACAGGGCCTTCTGGGCTGATGTCAAGAAGCTGACCACCCTCATGAAGGGCCCTTATGAAGTCCTACGAGAGGTGGACAAGGATGTCCACTGCTTGTCTCGGATCTACGACCTGGACCGTCAATTGCCTGTCTTCGTCCGTTCGGCCCCCCTCGGTGACAAGGAGCGAGATGATGTCCTGGTGGACGTGAAGAATAGGACAGATATGCTGCTCAGCCCGATCCACGTCGTGGCCCGGTTGCTGGATCCAGTGTTGAGGGACATTGCTGTTTTCAGCAATGTCGAGCTCATGACGCAGTTTGAGGCTGTTATGGAGCGCCTCATCGGCAAGAGAGGGAGCAAGACGTTTGACGACTGCTTGGACCAACTGTATGAGTTCCAGATGGCGAGAGGAGTGTTCGGCACCACACGGGCGGTGCAGAGGGCGAAGAAGGACAATGCGGTGCTGTGGTGGGAGGCGCACGGGGCTGGCCATCCAGAGATCAAGGCTCTGGCGGTGAAGGTGCTCTCCATTTGGACGACATCCTCTCCAGCAGAGAGGAATTGGAGCACTTGGTCTCTTGTGCAGATTAAGTCCAGGAATAAGCTGCACCACCAGCGCACCGAGAAGTTGGTGTACTCACACTGGAGCCTCAGGCTCAAGAGCAGGGGCGATGACGGCCCAACGGTGGTAGGAGGATGGTTGGGGCTAGCAGCAGACTGGGCTGACGATGATTTGGAGGGTGATCAGGCGGGTTTGACTGACGCTGTCGACRACGGTGAGCTCSGTCATGAGGCTGCTCCATCCRGTGCGGGTAGCACCACCATTCGCCATGATCCTGCTGCGGCCGGGACAACAGCAGGCGTGCCGAGGTGAGGAGAGGTGGAGGAGGGTATGGAGTGGGGTGACATGGAGGAGGAGGAGGACGATGACGATGTGGACAGCGAGGACGAGATTCCACATGACGAGTGGGTGGACGATCGGTTAGACTCTGACAGATCGTGGACGAGGAGGGAGGAAATCACACCATATGTTCCGGGCACACGACATGGATTGAGGTCCCAGAGTCAGCGGCAGCAGGTGCAGCAACATGAGGAGCAGCCTGTGGAGCACCATGAGCAGGCTGTTGTGGAGCAGCAGCAGCAGCAGCAGGCTGACGAGGAGCAGCAAATAGAGGATCAGCAGCAGCAGGCTGACGATCAGCAGGGGGAGGAGGCACTGGGGCACGGGGAGCATGAGGGCGAGGTAGAGGGAGGTCAGTGCCGCCCGGAGGTGCGGTCATTTTATGGTGCTTGTCTCCTGCCGCACCTGCTCAGTAGTGGGCAAGCACATCCCGGGCGTGTATGGGATCCGCTCGGCTATCGTGCTCCGCGAGGCAGAGGGCGCCTTCCTTCCACAGGAGGCAGAGGTCGCGCTTGTGCCGCACGAGGGACAGGTCGCCCGAGAGGGCATCCACGGAAGGACAAGCAGCCAATGCCTGATCCTGCAGCCTCCACCTCTGATGACGACTCCCATGAGAGTGCCCCCCTGCACAAAACGGAAAAGAGGAGGATAGCGCCCAATGAAGGCAGAGAGACACAAAGAGAGAGAGAGAGAGAGAGAGAGAGAGAGAGAGAGAGAGAGAGAGAGAGAGAGAGAGAGAGAGAGAGAGAGAGAGAGAGAGA